GAGAACATGTGCACATTTAATGAGAACATGTGCACAGTTAATGAGAACATGTGCACAGTTAATGAGAACATGTGCACAATTAATGAGAACATGTGCACAATTAGTGCTTCTCGTTCTGCCGGACTGGTTACAACTGGTTAATCTTTACCTGTCTTACTGGTCAGTACCTTTTAGGTTTAGGTTAAGCTAGCCCAGTTTACCTTGTAGGATAAAGATAAAAACAGCTGTTAATTGATGTATAACTTATCCCAGGACAGGACTATTAGTCCCATCAGATACATTTTTAATAAATATAATGTTTTAATAAATATAATGTATTAATACATTAAATGTATTACACACAGTTATTGGTGAGGCTGTGCTAAGCTAAGGAGAGCAGGAAGTTGAAGGCAGGACACTCCAAACACGTGTCTTGTTTTGTGTCACTTTGAGGAGTCATTGCTTCAACACACTCCTATATTTGTGTGTAATTATTCATGTTTTATTATTACTGTGATGTATTAGACTTTAATGTTGCTCTGTTTGTCTGCAGTAAACCAACACAGAGTTAAACATGTGAGTGCACATGCTTTGTAAATTAATATAACTATTAGTCATAAGTGCATGTTGTTTAATAAGTGTTTAGGTACCACACGAGAATTTCTACCCAAAATAAAAATAAATATTTTGCTCCACATTGCAGTATAAAACAGTTTTCTTTCCCACTTTTATGTTGAAATGTTTGATCTATTTTCAGTTTTATAAAAGAAATTACCAGTAATTGTAATTATTTTCTCCCCTCATTTGTTTAAATAAAGTTTGTCCCACTTAATAATGGATTTAAGCGGTTTGATTTAATCATTTTACATTATGGTGTAAGACCTGTGTTGCTGTATTTAACTTACTGGATGGGACGGGGAGGTCATCATGTAAGGTACAGAACCTAATAAAACAGTTGATTCTGGGAACTTTGTTTAGTACAAACAATACAAAGTAATACACAACTACAAAAAATGCATCTTTGTTTGGATATATCTAAAGCCCTGTTTGCACGGGATAAACATCATCTGTTGACCCCATGTAATAAAACTCCCAGACATCTTTTTTATTATTATGTGGCACATTTGTACGTACGGTTGGGTATTAAAAGGGTTTATTTCAATACCAGTGCTAAATCGATACTTTCAAAACGGTACCTGTCCCTAAACTGTATTTAAATCAGGACTTTAAAAATAAATAAATAAAACACTCACGCAGAGGTTTATGAAGCAATAACTATTTCTGAGTCAAAGTCAAACTTGAAATTAACCAACTTATTAACTTAAAACCATTAATAATTTGTCTTTGCACCAAAAATTCTTTAAACACTTGTTGTAGGTGGAAGTTTCTGCATCTTATTTTGTAAAGTGACACCACACTTTGGACTGTTTTACTTTCAACATCTCGACTATAATATATAATATATAACTGTTAACTCTCCATGAACTCGGTTCTACTCCATTCACTTTGGGTCGGGTCGGTTCTGCTCAGTGTCCGTGTGTCTCCACGCAGCAGGTGTGATAATGTGTGGACCGTCTGCAACGGCTTCAACTCTTGTGTTAAAAATAATAATTAAATAAAATAAAAAAGCTGTTGTGGTCTTACTGTTAGGACTAAACTTTTATTTATTTATTTATTTATTTATTTATTTATTTATTTATTTATTTATTTATTATCACGGTGCTGTTTAGCTAAGTGCTTGTGTAACCATGCGGACAGTTTATTGGAAACCTCCCGTGATCTGCTCAGCTTCGTCTCCTTCACCTCTCTACAGGAAGTGTTATAAGTCCTGCCTTTCCCAAAAAGGCAGTTTTATTTCACCATGTCGTCGTACAGTGCTGCATGCTCGTATTCCTGAACAAAACCAGCTCTCTCCAGGAGGAAATTTGCTGTCAGTCAATCCAAGAGTTAATCCACGAGCAGTATTCTGCTGACGTTAAAAGAGACCAATTATGGGTCGTAGAAATGTTTATGGTATATCTGTGGGCTATCCAGACCATGTTCATTCAATTTAATGCACAAAATAATTCTCAGATAATAAAATTTCCCATTTTCTAGTTCTGCTGCTCTGACTTCTGTTCAGAAGAGCTGTTTATGTTAATGAGCTCTGTTGGTAACGCCCTCCAAAAAATCTGTTGACATTAACTCCGCCCTCCAAAAATCAGTTGACATTAACTCCGCCCTCCAAAGCCAGCGTTTACGTTAGCATGGCTAATAATAGCAGAAGCTCCGTTGTACAACCATATGAGACCCAGAGGCAGAGTCGTGGTCTCAGCTTCTTTTTTTTCTCTCCCTCCTCTGCTCTGCACTCACTCTGCATGCTGTTACCAGAGCAGGGAGCAGCAGAGGTCAAAATACCTCAGAAACTCAAACAAATAGYCTTTAACAAGGCTTTAATAAGATAAACAATAGAGCTACATGAGAAAACGTGTTCATAATGAACTAAAATAAATAATTAAATTGTGTCCATGTCAGTCTCAAACCCTGGTCTCCCACTCTCTGGTCCAACACTCTACCCATTGCCCTGTTGGAGGCTTGTTGTGAACAGAGCTACACATTACACAACAACACTGTGATGACTTTTAATGCTGAGGAGGAGGAGCCTCACCCGGGGGTTGTTAGGTAAGGGGCTGAACGCAGGTTCTGGTGGGTTGTCGTACGGCTTGTGACATCACAAAATGACTGAAGTATAAAACTTGTTGTTAATATACATTAAAAATACATTTACTTACAGTAAATATGCCCCTGGATGCATTTTTTTTGGTCCTAGGACTGTTTTTAAAGAAGTACATACCCAAAGTTAAGTAAAAAACCTTTAAAAAGGGAATTTTGCACAATAGGTCTCTTTAAAATCATAAGCGTGCACACTTCTATCTGAACCACCTGAGAGGAGGCTCTGAGACAGTGCGGATGTGGAGCACACTTGGAGACGCACATTGGGCCTAGACCGAGCCGAGTCGAGCCGCGTCTGTGAGATTGTGTGCTGAGGCTGTCACTATTAACAGTGAACACCAGAGGGTGCAAATTAACAGCTTTCTTTGAGGGACCAAAATAGGGCTGCACCGATTAGTTGAAATAATCGACGTCGATTATGTAAATTTGTCAACGCAGATTTTTTATTATCGATTCTCTGTATTACATAACACCACGTGAATGTTCATGCAATCCCATTTCGGTACCTAAACGCATCATTGCGACTGTATTGACATAAGAGTGGTGAGTTTTCCATGCTTGTCCTGAACGCAGCATCACAAGGGCGTAATGACGTCAGCAGCTGCTGCTTCAGTTCAGTCTGAAGCTTGAAAACAAGCCTCGCAGCTCCTGGAGTAAAATTTACCAAACAGACCACCTCTGAATTATCTGCTGGATTAATAATCTGGTGAACATGACGTTCACTTGCTCAAAGTAAATAAAGTAGCAGCACTTTCTTTATTTCATCCAGCATTAAACAGTGAGCGGTGTTAGGTGGAGCCACGTTCCCCCATCAGACGGTTCCCCCAGCGTCTGAAACAACAGAGGAGCTTCAGACACACGTCTGACCTAAAGAGCACAAGCAGCCAACAAGTGTTGGACGTGTTCTGGATGTTCAAAACGTACCTTAAATACCTTTTATTTATTTTAACTGCCTCCTCTTTTCTTTATTTCATTTAAACTTATTTGCCTTCATGGACCTCCATCACACATGTTTCTA